TTATTTTTGTTTTGTTTTATTTTGATCGGTGTCCGAGGGCTCTTTTCTCGAACAGTAGGTGCGATACCTGTTCTTTTCTTTCTTTCGATCATTTTGTTTTCTTTTTCCGAGTGGTTTGTATCCTATTTTTGTTTTTTGTTTTCTCGCGGCGTCGTATGTGCCGGGTTTTGAGACCACGGGCTCCCCATTTTTTGTGGACTATAGAGCTAATGTGAGAAACAACAACAACAACACAACAACTAAAATATCCCATCCCATCACGCAAACTAAACAGCACACACAGCAAGCGTTTGGTTACCAGTTCAGCGGCGCGCGTACACCCCACCTTCTTGCCGAGAAACACGTCGCCGCCGTCCAGAGCACCCCCGATCATCGCCCGCTTGTGCTTCGGTCTCCCCACATGACTCGCAAACACAACCTACAGCAGTGAGTGCCCCGCACACAGAGAGAGAACACGCAGCAAGGTTAGAGGTCTTGCTCAAACATCAAGGGACGCAGGCGAATATTGTCACAACCATGATGGTTTTCGAAGAGGCGGGCGTGAGGTGTTCACGGATGCGACGGCCACCTGTCGCTGGCTCGCGTCGGCAGGACCCCCCCCCGGTACCCGGTACAGTGTACCCGTGCGGCGGAAACACGTCAATTTGCTCTCAATGACGAAGACTTCCAGGACACCAGTCGGGGAGCTGCCTGGGTCCAGCCAGCGAGAGCTTGGTTGCCAGCTGGCAAGGCCCAGGAGAAGGCTCGGGACGGCACGACAGCACCGATGGCGATACTGGCAACGCCAGCCCACTACATTGTAGGGTGTTTTCGGTTTGAACGGCGGTACAGCCAGGCGGTGAAGGCAATCCTTCCGCAAGCCTGCTTGCCCTACCTGTGGAGCACTGTACCTCCTCCCTCTTCACCCACAACGTATGTGCGCCGTCTCTGCGTGCAATGAGACACTGAATATGCAGGCACCCCCTATGGGGAGTGGGAGAGGGGTTGCACACCAAGAGCAGTGCCTGCGTGCAATCTGAAGCGTGTGTAGCATGCGGAGTACAATGACACTGGAAGCTGCTTGTTCAGCTGCTTCGCTCGTAGTCTTTCAAACAACCTTACACACGTTCGTATATTGTGCACACCAAAACCAAGCACATGGCTGCCTGCCCCGTGGTACTATCACTGCTGTGTACGGCATCTACGTAAGGGTGCTACGCAACGTTGCTACAAGGAGCCCTGCTGCTGCTGTGTAAGGTAGGAGGAGGGGGGCGCGGCGGAATTGGTCGTTTGAAATTTTATTCAATGTGATCAGCAGCAGTGTTTTCCCTCCCGAAGAAGCGGTCATCCACAGCCAACCGCAGCTGCCGATTGTGGCTTTCAGACCATACTGGTATTACTTTCGAACTTACACGCATGATGTGCACTAACCAGTTCCTCGACGCCGTTCCCTGCTGTTGCACAGGAGTATCAACAGCAATCAAGCCGTGGAGCAGAGTCATACCTTAGGCTTGTCTGCTCCCGCGAAGCCTGCCTTGATGATCCCCGTGCCGTTGTCGATCACGACTGGTTGGTTCAGCACTGCTGACATACTGTTCCCCCGCTCCCGAGGCAGAGAATGGTGCCAACCCAAGCTGTCCTTGCGGGTGTGGGTCGAGCAGCGAGAGACAAAAGCAAGGAACAATCGCACACTGCTATCTGCCCCCCTCTCCCATGTTTTTGTATTGTTTGGGTTATGATGGGGGGGGGACGGGGGGGGAGAAGAATAGTTTTAATTGCGCCGCACAACCTAGCTAGCGCGAGCCGAGATGTTTTGCTGTACTGCAGCTAGGCACCACGACAAGTATCCCGCAGCGGGATGCCTGCAATGACTTTTGATGCTCTGCCTTATGGAATATTCAGGTGGGGTATTTTGTTGCTGCGTCAAGCAGAGCAAAGTAATGCCAGAGCTAGCAACCCGGTCTGTTGTTGCCCAGTCCATCAGTCTAGAAGTCTGCAGCAGTACGATAGTCTCCCGTGCTTCGTGGTTCCCGATGTTACTAGTGCGACAAATGGTACCGAAGTTCATGCAGTGGACAATCTCTTTCAACACCTACCGCTCTCGTTACGGCTCCTGTGGTTTGTGCGTGTACGTACAATATGCAACACGGTCTGCTGCAGGCAATCGGTCGAGAAAGTAAGATATTAGTCTCTCCTTCTGCAACCATACTCGCAAAGCAGCAGACCCTGTCGACTTGGGCCCAAAGCAGCAGTACACAAGCCTATACTTTGCGACCCGTTCACCTTTCCAAATGCCAACGGGCACAACCAGTTTGGTCAACCGGCCACCTCTATTACACGATGACAACAGCATATGGCCTCTTATGTCCCCACGATCTGGATGACATGATGACGTAACACCCGTCTCTGTGCCTCGTTCAACTCAAGGAATCTATCTCTCGCTAGAGCCCCAAACATCGATACACCAATGTACAGCAGTAGACTAGGTGTGCGCATGTATTTCAACACTGCGTGGCATCCTCCACAAAATCATATCGATGGAGGGATTCAAGCTTACATTTCGTTTACATGTTTCAACTGACGCAGCCGATGTAGACATCGCCCCGGGTATCTCGACGACGGCGAACTCTACAACCCTAAACTGTCGACGCCGTGTACACCACACACAACGGACGGACCCAATCCCTCAGGTGCCATCTCGAGCGCGGCATGTGCTTGTCTTTCTTTGCTGGTGATGGGGCGAAAACCTGGTCGGGGGCAGGAGGAAAGGTCTTGACATTACAACGGAGTTCACCCTAATGCCTCGTGCACGAAGCATGTCCTTGTCACCCACAGCAGAGGCAGAAGCCTGAGAGGATGGCTGCGACAGAGTGTTTGTGTGTGGCCATCGTGAATCTTCCTGCCTGCCTATTCCATCTGCGGCCAATTTTTTCCAACAGCAGTCCTCGACGCGACCAAGGTTTCATCTGAATATCAGCATCGCCAACTGTTGCCCCCGTTTTGGGTGATGCCTCCCCCTGGGTGCAGGCGCGTCGCCGTCTGCCTGGACCGTCGCGACATCGTGCAGCTCGCCAGGGCGGACGTGAAACGAGTGGTGCTATCCTTCTGCCTGTGGGAGCGAACGACGGCAGGCGCCTGCAAGGGCGGGAAGCTTGCGCCACCGCCTGTCGACGAGGAGCAAGGTGTGTGCGCGCGAGAGCGCGAGACAGAAAAAATGATTTTTTTGCGGTCAAGACTATATAATGTGTGTAGCCTCAGAAATAAATTTTATCTTCCCGTCGCATCTCGAATGCCTGCCCCTGTGAGCAACATGGAACGTGCTTCTCGCGGTTGCGGGTTCGAGAAGTACCCAAGTGAATAACATGTACACGGTGAGACGGCTGCCCTTGGGTGCTGCGGAAGTCAGAGGGCATCATGCCCTATAATGGGAATGTGTGCTTCCGTGGGTGTGTGTGCGCTGGCTTGATATCCTTGCGTCCTGATTCGAAGGCCTGTCACGCGTGGTTCCAGATCCATGTCTGAGGTCCCCTCCCCCCACCACCCACCACCCCTTATCCTGTTGGTTTGTCGTTCATTCCTTCCCCCCGCCCGCTTTGTAGAGTGTGTCACACCCTTGGGGGCGCCTATCTACAGGTTTTTGGGCGCGGAGGATCTAGGGAGAAACGGGGAAGGGCAACATGGCCCCAAAACGGTACGCGCCTCTTGGCAAGGATTTTCTTTTGCGAGTCGCAAGTCTTTTGGTTAAGGTTCACATATTTTGCGCTCCATGGCTTACACGGACATACCCTGCTGTTCCGTTGCCTGTACGTGTGCATTTCTCGGAACTTAACTTGGTGGGGATTGCACGTGGAAAGATCCCGCGTCGTTCCGTTCGCACGAAAAGCAAGAAGACTCCCTTCAACTATGCGCCGTGGACCGGACTGCTCGCTCCCGCTTGCTAACGGACAACCATGTAATAGATCGCTCGCTCCTGTTGCAACAACAATGGTTCTCTACTCTCTCTTTTGCCTCTATACATCCACCTGCCCGAGCCACCCGACCCCCGCAAGCAGCATTGATTGGTTGCTTTCGACGGTCCACGGAGCACCCCACAAGGCGCCGTTGTTCTTCCACCTGGAATCAACAGTCTTCATATGGTACACATTCACTCGGCTGTGCGTTCACTTTTACGTTAGTTTCGCCACCTTTGTTTGCTACGACATTGTTGTTGTTACAACAGGTGCTGGCGAGCTACCCGCGATCGGGAAACTCCCTGCTCCGGAAGCTTCTCGAAGAGGTGACAAAGATACCATGTTTTCGAAGCACGCCTCGGCTATACCGTCCGTCGATTCTCGACTCTGTCCCTCTCCCCATCTCTACTTGGTTTCAAGCCCGCCGGGCCTGGGGGTGGGGGGAGAGGGGCGTGGTTGTCCAAGCCTGCTGGTAGGGAATCTGACCACATCACTCCGCTACAAGGATTTCCATTTCGCTTGTTTTTCCCTTCTATATGTTTAATTGTGAGAATGCGATTGAGCTTTTTCGTTGCCATTGTCGTCCTATTACCGGGGGAAGAACCACTCTACCTGCGTCTGACCTTTTGCAGGAGGTATTTCTTGTAACGCTTAACGGTTATTGTACGGACGAACCATCATGTACTCGGGCACCCGCGCTCCTGTTCGTTGCTGCATCTGCACTGGCTGTAGCGAGGACTCAGAACCTGGAGGTGTACTCTGCTTTGACTTGAACAATACCGAAAGCAACGCCCCCCCGGCGCGGGTGGACGATGTCCAGGATGCCCTTTCCTCCTTCTAGGTGACGGTCACTCTACAGCTTTCCAGTTTCTTTGCGGCAGCCGTGCGGTCGTCCAATGACGCTAGCGTTTATATTCGCCCCAGATAATGTCTATTTGGCGGTAACCATTATGGTGATCGAGTAGATCATGTTGTGCGGGGTGGAGAACCCTCACTACGCGCAAGGGGAATGATCGCACCACGTTGTGTTAAGGTGGTTATGCACCCTCGAGGCAGTTACACAGTGCTTATAATTGTCTCTGGAAGCGAAAGCACCAGAAAACATATCAAGCCACGCAGCTGTCATCCGTATGCAAGGAAGTAAGCACAAGATGCCGAAAACCCTTACCAGGATGCAGCCGTCCCCCCCCCCGGTGATTGCCATCGGGGTTGGGTTTTCGTCGCTTGGCAACGACGTTGTAAAACAAGCCGCC